CCCTCTGTCAATTGCTTTCAAAATATTATCTTCTGTTACTTCATCTCCTAAAGTTGCTTTATCCTTTACAACATCAACCACTGAGCCAACCAGATTATTTGAACGCAAGAATGCTGAGTCCTCTTCAGCCACCAGAGGGATGGAGGGAAAAAGTCTGTTCATCTCTATCAGAATAAGGATGTAATCCAGTCAAGAAACAATTCATCTTAGCTCCAAGAAGAAACTTGATCAGGCAATTTGTCTTTTTAAACAAAGAAGAAAATTTTAAGCACAAAAAATCATATCCATAATTTTCAGTATTGTTAAAAACTACATTCTCATTTCATCATTCTTCAAAAATTATACTCATAACTTAATCATATTACTTCCATGAATATCACTGCTTCTTCTTTTTTTGAGTGATGGGGATGTACTAGATAGCTGAAACTGCACTCAGTAAATAAAAAGGAACATACAGTATAATTTACCCAAGCTAACTAAAGCCTGCACTCCAAAATCTGCAATGGTGACTGGGGTCTGGTCATTTTTCTCAAGAATCCTACCATCACTTGAGAACAGTGACTTCTTCACCTAGAAATCATAAAGAGATCACCATTCTTAGTGGCTAAAATGGTTGCACTACTTGACATACGGACTACTGAAAATAAGAAAAAAGATGACTATTGGAGAAATGCTTATATTTAAACTCAACCACTTCATGAGTCAGATGTATAGAAGTAAAGCAAGTTTCACCTAAACTAAGTGACTAGTGTGCCTTGTTTGAGATGAGGTGCAGACAACTTGTTTCAAAAGTCTTTAATTTTAAGTACCTCAGAACAAGATAGTATTAGTTTAGCAATGTGCATTGGCTATGAAACTACTTAAATGATAGGAAAACCTGCATGCATATTGAATAGCAGAAAGCAGTAAGCAATGCCTTTTTGAATCCACATTGTAACCAATTCCAAGAACTTTAGTCTAAAATTCATCATATCTTTCAATTGAACTCAAAAGACTCTCTCTAAGACTCTGGAACGAAAAAGTAGCTTTGAAACTCAAACTATTTTTGGTTGATTAGCTCCAACAGTAGTTGCCAAATTAAGGCAACAGAAAACTGAGCACTACCGGTCCCAATTTGTATTTGATACCTTCTAAAACGTTTGATACACATCCATTTCCATACAACTTTGAGAGAATCATCTTTGCATAACTTCAATATTCTCTTCTACTATCACTACTACAGTAAATAAGTCAAATTAAATTCTGAATTTGTGTTTAAGTCTTAACATCCTTCAACTATTCTACTTCAAAATAACTTTGTTAATAATTTTGTATCTACTCAAATACTGTCATATAAAATGGAAGTGAAGGAGTAATTAGCTAATTAATCAAAATGACTGGAGAAATTACATCAACGCAGAGACGACAAGCTCGTTCGACAACATCAACAGCAGCTTCGAGCTCGCTATAATACTTGCCTTTCTGCTCCGCGAACGGAAGGCTCAAACTCGACCTGGAAGAAGAAAAATCACACTCATATATCAATCAATTTGTGTCTCAGTCTCAAACTAATTGAGGTCGAATATATGAATTCAATAACTGAAGAAAAAAAAGATATGCAGAGAAGTGTCGGCTGTGGGAGACCTAACGGCGACGAACCGCCGGCCAAGTGGCGTACGGAAGGGAAGTTGAGGATGAGCTGCAGGGAAGCGGGAGGCGGAGTAACGGAGAAGATCCATAAAGGCAATGAAATTGGAGTCAAGTCAGGTAGTTGTTAGTTGTTATTCCTGGAATGTACAACTATTACTGCGAAATGTACCTGGGTTAAATTTGTTTACTTGAAGAGTAGGCTTCTAATAGTGGAAAGCGGTGCACCGAAGTTTTAGTCATGATTCAATAGCTAGCCGCTAGGTCCACTTATTTTTGTTGATTTCTGACCTTTCGAATCAATTTAGTTGGTAACTTGGTATAATGAAAAAGACGGAATGATTTGAAAGACCATTATACTTGGTTTTGTTTGTCATCTATATCCTTCTACTCATAACTTTGCCAACTGAATACTTAAAATTATTAAAACACACTATTTTAAACTCTTTTTGACCGTTGACTAAGCTTATGTGGTGTTTTTTGGCTGTATCATATCAAGAGATTGGTTACACACATTTAAAAGCAAGTGAAGACAACTATTTAATTTTTTTTAAAAAAAGAATTAAAAGAAAAATATAACAATTTTAAAAAAAAAACTTTTCCCAATATGATGTACGTTTCTTCTTCTTCCTCCTCATAATTTCACCCAACCCCACCATCACCACACACACATCTTCTTCAATCTCTTCAGATACTCTTACCCACAATTCTTCTTCTTTCTCTTCTCATATGCTACCTATCATTTAAGAGTTCTATAATAATCGGAAAAAAATATTTAATTAGATTTGGGTAAAAGAGAGGGAAAAAAAGAGGTTCTAAATTGTGAAATAGATGCGAATTTAAGATGGGTTTTTTGAAAGACATGTTTGAGATTATTTCTAAATGTAAGGCAATTTTATTGAGAGCATTTTTGAAGAGTTTTCTATAATGACCCATTTTTTGTCTGCTTCTCTTCTTTCTCTCATCCTCCATTTGAGTCACTTTATTCCTCACCACCATTAAAATAACAAAATTTATAATCAAAAGCATAGCAAAGCTTTGCTTATATCTAATTCCTTTTCAACGTAAAAAAAATCACTAGGAAAGAAAAAAAAAAGAATGATTAGTAGCACAATATATGAAAAATATGGGAAGAGGGAAAAAATGGAAAGAAATTAAGAAAGAAAGGATTTTGGAGATAAATTTGAGATTTCTTTTAAAAAAATATTATTTGTAATTAAAAAAATGATGTGGCAATATATTTATGATGTGGATAGTGAGGTGTTATCTACATCAACGCGATTGGGAGACACACATGATCAGAGAGGTTTAAAATACTGTATTTTAATAACTTTAAGTGTTCAATTGGCAATATCGTGAGTAGAAGGGTCCAGGTGACAAACGGAGCCAAGTACAAGGGTCTTCCAGGTCATTCCGCCAAATGAAAAATATAAATATTTAGTACTTTTTTGGCCATGCGATACCATATCACGATATGGTATCGCGAGATGAAATTAGTGTTTGGACATGCGATTTTACACTGATTCCATCTCATGATTCCATATCATGAGATGTGATTCTATATTCTCCAAAAATCATGATATGGAATTATATGGGAATTCCATATCATGATTTGAGATATTTTAATACAAAAATTGATCCACGAGTTTATATTTTGTTAAAACAATCCCACATTTATATCTACTAACCATTTATTTCATAAGTAAATAAAATTTATAATCACATCATTACTTTTTAAAATTTATTATTCTCATTGGCATAAAATTTATTATTCTCACCAACATATAGTCACTTTAACTCACACCAACCAATTGTTGAGTAATAAATTTGTTCTGTTCATTTACTCCAACACTTAATTTATTACTTCTACCATTTTGTATTTATTACAACTATAGTTATATCTATTTGAACATGGAGTGAAAGGTTATCTCTTCATTTACTCTAATAAATTGATATGAAAGTTAGGTTGGTCAATATAGTTGTGGATGATATTGACCAACAAATGGCTCAAAGTAACAATGTTGGTTCGTCTTGTCGGTCACATGATCGAGAAATGCAAGTCAACGTGATGAAATTATCCGTAGTATGTGGTAGGATTATATTAAAGACTAGTACACTACAATTTATGTTCAATTTTTTTTATTAAATTAAAGTTAGATGAAACAATTACTTAAGTGGAGAACAAATAGCTTTGTAATAATTTACTATACGATTTTATAAATTTTTGTTTATTTAATAAGATTGAATAAACAATTGGAGCTATTTTAATAGTTTTACAACTTATGTGATTCTTATGTTTATGAGAAAATATACAACACAAAAATTTCATATTGAATATCCAAACAAAACTTCAATTTCATTTCATGATTCCATATCATGATACCATATCATGATTCCATATCATGATATCATATCATGATTCCATATCGCATGGCCAAACGAGCTCTTAGTAATTCAATAAATCTTGATTTGGAATCTACCTCTTTTTTAATTTTCTATTTTAATCCACGCTTCTTGCTAGGTGATGTTGAGAAGGTACAATACATATAAATTGACACCTCTACTTGTATTTTTAATTGCCCTCAAATTTATTTTTAATTAAACATTATGATTAAAGATGGACGGGATTCATATTAATATTGAAACTGTCAAAACATAGTTAATCAAAACACATTACACATTTCTTAAATATATATGTCACGTGTGTTATTTACTCTAAGATGAATAACAACACATGCAACATTTATGTCAAATAAAGTATGACATGTCATCATCATCTTCGTTAGTCAAACTAAAATAAATCCTTGGAAGCCTAATAAAATAATTAATAGAATGTCAATAACAAGAACAACTGGGGTACCTTCTGGCCTTGTTACTGGTGTGAATTCATATCAAAGAAATTGAAAATGCAATTTGAAATATATATATTTATATGAAGGCATCTAAATTAATTAAGATAGTTATTAACAACTAATTATCTTGTAAAATGCAAGTCTTAACTACAGTTAGTTAGTTAGTTAACTAACACTAGTCCAGTTCTTAACTAGTTTGTTGATATAACAGTTAGTTAGTTAGGATTTTTTATCTTCTAGAATCATCTTAGTCACATGTATATAATGATGTACTCATGAGTTGAAATGCAAGTTTTTCATTCTCTTTCAAATACAATTCTCTCAACTGTTTTCTCTCGATTGCCATCAATGGCTTCTCTGTTTTGATTCAACTAAACACTCACCATTGTTGTGAGTTTTGATATGGTATCAAAGTCAGTAAGGCTATATATGATTCAATCTCCTTTATTTCCTTTTTATTTGAAGTGATTTCCACTTCCTGTTGTTCCCTTCTCTATCTTCAATTCAATCGAAAATTTCATCATGGTAGATGTTGAAATTCCCCATACTGCAGGAGTTAATGCTGGAATTGACACCAGCAGTCCTCTCTATGTTCATCTGTCGGATATTCCAGGTATGTTTCTTGTTCCAGTTTAATTTGATGGAGCTGGATACAGATCCTGGAGAAGAGGTGTTCTGCGTGCTTTATCTGTAAAGAATAAGTCAAGTTTAATCGATAGAAGTTGTACAAAGCCAGCTGAGAATTCTCTACAGCTTCGACAATGGCAGAGATGTGATGATATGGTGACATCGTGGATACTGAATTCTCTGAGTAAGGAAATCTCTGATATTGTGGAGTATGTTAATAATTCTATTGAACTTTGGAAGGAACTGGAAGATCGTTATGATCAAACCAATGGTGCAAAGTTGTATCAGATACAAAAGAAAATTGACGACTTAACACAATGTGTGCTAGACATAATTGTTTACTATACAAAGATGAAGAAGTTGTGGGAGGAACTGAGTACTTTGAATACCAAAAGCTTGTGCACTTGCATATGCACATGTGGTGCTAAGGACAACATGTACAAAGCTGAGCAGGATAGGCGATTGATACAGTTTCTCATGGGGTTAAATGAAGTGTACATTGTGATTAGAGGTAATATACTCATGATGAATCCACTTCCCTCTATAGCACAAGCTTTCTCTTTACTGATTCATAAAGAAAAGCAGAGGGAATTTAGGCCTGCTAGTCGTATGCCTATGGACTCAACCTCTTTGAATGTGAATTTTGTTAACACTGGTAGGGGATCCATAGACAGATCTTATAGAACAAACTTTTCAAATAGCAACTCAGGTAACAACAATAATTATGAAAGAAATGGTTCATACTCAGGAAATGACAACAATAAAAATGTTATAGTTTGTGAGTATTGTAAGAAACAAGGACACACCAAAGAAAAGTATTACAAGTTGCATGGATACCCACCGGGGAACAACATTCTCAACTACAAACTAAATAATGGACAGTCCAGACAAACCAATCATCAAAACTTTAAGGGCAAAAAAATTGTTGCCAATGTACATAGTACATCAGTTGATACTCATGGGGAAGAATGCTCACAGGGTAACAACAATCCAAACTCTGTCATCACACAAGAACAATATGGTCAAATTATGAACCTCCTGCAGCAGTTTCAACTTGATAGTCCAAGAGAGGATTTCAAGGTCAATGCTAATTCTGGCAATTTTGCAGGTACAGTAGTGTGCACTTCTTCTATTGATTTTGGTAATGCTTTATGCAAATGCTTTAAATCAAATGCTGACTTATGGATCATTGACTCAAGAGCATCAAATCATATGACCTTTAATAGAAATTCCCTAATCAACATTCAAACCTTACCTTACCCCATACTTGTTTCACTTCATAATGGATATAGAGTCAAGGTGACAGAATGTGGTGAGTGCTTATTACATCTAAAATTGTTTTAAACAAAGTGTTACATGTTCCTTCTTTCAAGTATAATCTCATTTCAGTTCATTCTTTGTCTTTTTCAATGAAATGCATGGTATTGTTCATTGATGCAACTTGTATTTTACAGGGCTCTAATTGATAATAACAAAGAGGGGATCTACTATATGTGTGGAAAATGCTTGAGGAACACTGTTAGTGCTAATGCAGCTGCCATGTGTAGTTGTCTGTCTCATAGGAGTTTTTCCTTTTCAACTTCATTTTGTAGTCACAATTTCCATTCCAATGTTAAGAATCACTTTGTTGATGATAAACCATGTATTGCAAAATGTGGTGTACTCAATACCAGAAATGTTCACTTTTCTTCTAATCAAATTCCTGATACTCATGTATGTTCCTCTGCTAATAATACAAATGTGTTGTCTGATGTTACATCTGCTAAATCTCCTAGAAATAATGTGGACTTATTGTGGCATAATAGACTTGGTCATGTGCATTTTGTAAAGATGAAGAATAGATCCAGTCAAGTTGTCCCCTAAACAACTTTTTCTGTGCACTATATGTCCTATGGCAAAACAAGCCAGATTACCATTTAGCAAAAACACTACTCACTATAAGGCAATTTTTTATCTCTTGCATATTGATTTATGAGGAGGGGTATTAATAACTAATTATCTTGTAAAATGCAAGTCTTAACTACAGTTAGTTAGTTAACTAACACTAGTTCAGTTCTTAACTAGTTTGTTGATATAACAGTTAGTTAGTTAGGATTTTTTATCTTCTAGAATCATAGTCACATGTATATAATAATGTACTCATGAGTTTAAATGCAAGTTTTTCATTCTCTCTCAAATACAATTCTCTCAACTGTTTTCTCTCGATTGTCATCAATGGCTTCTCTGTTTTGATTCAATTAAACACTCATCATTGTTGTGAGTTTTGATAGTCAACAGGAAAGTCAATATACAGCCAAAACCTCGTAATAATAGTAACATTTATTTTAAAAATTTTATATAATTTTTACAGTAAAATATATACAAAGCTTATAATAAAACTGGTTTAATCTTGATTTACTAACTTGGAATTAAGGACCTTTTTAAGTTTTCTTTCTTTATCCGTGTGTAGAAGGGTCTAGTAGTATGTAGAAGATAGTAGTACTAAACTACTAATACGAAGAGAAATATATCCAAGTATTTTTGCTGTAAGATAAGTATGTAATTTCCACGTCACTATATTTTATCTTATTATTTGTAATACTTAATTTACAAGATTGATTAATGTAGGGCTCATCATGTTTGACAAATATCCTATTCATTTTACTAGCATCATTATCCTTCATTTATTTTTTTCAGATAGTATCATTATCAATATTGATTTACCTTTCCCAAAATGCTACGTCAGCAATTAGATTTGTTCAAATCCAAAATCTTAATGTATAACCGACACATGCCGGTCCTACGCGGAACCAAATACAACCAATCTCCGGTTTCATTGGCGAAACACTACTAATTAACCACATGTAGCCGGTTATTTTCATGAGTCAACGCATGAGCAACTTTTTATTTTCCTCTATATATATATGATTCCCTTATAATTGGAAATATTTACAAAACAGAATTGTGTTTCTGATACTGTGAAAACTACTTGTTACATGATCAGTAGAGTGCATCAAGGTGTGATGAGGGTGATTCATCAAGGGGTGAAGGATCATCAAGCAACAAGACGAGGTGACGGTGGAATCAAGACTCTTAAGGACTCGTCTTGTGGCGGTGGTGCTGGTGCTGGTGGAGGAGGAGGATCATCGTCAAGGCAGACATGGAAATTATCTGGTGCTGTTGATACCAACGCTCTCATCAAAGCAGCAAAGGCTAAGAAGATTAAACAGGCGGAAGAGTCTTTTAGGACTGTCATGTTCTTGACCTGCTGGGGTCCTTAATCTCAGCTGTTCTTCTCTGTCACTCATCCAAATGAGTCTTTTGTACAAAATGTCATATATATATATATATACTCATCTGAGTCTTGGTTTTTTTTTTATATATATATATATAAGGAAAGACCAGAGAGTTTTGAGACTGGCTAGTGCATGTATATTTGATAGTTGACAGTGAATGAAGTATAACTTTGCAGAATATTACAGCTTTTTCGGTGGTTGTTAGTTACCTATTGATTTGTGTTATTTCATTAGTTTAAGTAAAATATTTGTTTAAAATTTTATTTTACCGTATAATTAAATTTATGTTATGTACCATCAAAGAATTGGATATGGTGATGAGTTATTTTTCTTTTAATCAAATGTGTTGGGTTCGAGCCTATATATGAAAAAATCCTAGTTAAGGAGCGCTATCCTTCAAAATGGGATTCTACTCGACAAGAATTCAGATTAATCGGTCTCTAATGTGGGGTATCATATGTCGGGTGAGAAACCTAGCTCTAATGTGGGGTACTGTCGGGTGAGAAATCTAGAAAAAATATGTTAGGTTTGGACAAAATAATCATTTTAGGAATAGATTGATTTTGATATGATCATAGTTATCTTATTTTTTTATACTTTGTCTTTGTTTATTATTAATAAAAAAAAATTATTTTGTATCTTATCTTTTTAAGGTAAGCCTACACCATATTCTATAAAAAAAAAAAAAAAAAAAAAAAAACTAGGGTTATACTTCAAATTTTTTACTTTTTATTTTATTTGAAGATATATATTAGGTACAATTTATTTAAATATTATATTTATCAAGATAATATAATACAATGAAATGATATATATAACAATCCTCCGAACCAGATATAATTTTCTCGTTAAAGATGTTCGGTAAAATTTCTAAAAGGAAGAGGTGGAAGTAGTTTTAGGAAAGAAATTTAATTGCTTCCTCCTTATAATTAATTCAATTAAATTACTTAATTTGATTAAATGTGAAATTTTGTTAGGAATTAATCTTTTTCTTAAATAAAAAAAATTGAATTTTATAATCTTAAATAAGTCCGGCAAAATATTGAAGGATAATATAAGATGGGATGGATTATAAGATTTGGGCCTTGTGTATAGCATGGTGTGCTGGACCAACCACTAGCCCAATTTTGTCTCGGTTTAGTTGAGGAACGATATTTTCAAGTACAGAAATCCCATCTTTTAGTTTACTAATTATCATTATTTCCTATAAGTTTTATAAATTTCCAAAATTCCTCATTTTCGCGCATCAGATTAATGTATCAGCGCTTATATTATTGTATCTCGCGCATCAGATTAATGTATCAACGCTTATATTATTGTATCTCGCGCATCAGATTAATGTATCAGAGCTATATGAGTGCTGATATATGCGCGAGATACAATAATATAAGCGATGATACATTATCTGATGCGCCAGATACAATAATATAAGCGTTGATACATTAATTTGATGCGCGAGATACAATAATATAAGCGCTGATACACTAATTTGATGCGCGAAAATTGAGGAATTTCTGTAATTATAAACTTTTAAGGGATAAATTATAATTTTACCTTTAAAGTATGTGATTGCTGTAATTTGCCCTATTTTCAATTTTGTTTTTGTGAATTTCTTTTAAAGAGAGTTGTTTTCATTGGTTGAAAAGTAATACTATTACTTTTGTCACATCTCATATCTCATTGAAACGGACAGACATCTAATGGTCTAATAGCCTAAGAGAACCAACTTATAACACGAGTTTACTATGCATATAATCATGAAGATTATAAAGCTTTGACAAGTACAAATAAATTGCTTTAATAAAAAGATCAACATACATAAGCCTCAAAATACGTATACATGATTTGGCCACTGAGGCTACAAACTACAATTATTAACATATCTTAACATCAACGTTGATTATTTAAGATCAGGCTAGTATAAGGGTTAAGGGAATATTAAAAACGAAAATAATTTTTCGGCCAACTTGTCCACAATCTTCATTATATCTTGACAAAAAGTTCCAATGAACAGATACAACCCTAAAATTATTGAAGAGAATAAATCATAACTGGAATTGGATTAATGATCATTGAAAAAAATAAATGAAAGAAACACATCTAGAAATAGTTTAAACAAAAATTAAACAAGCATTTGTGCTGGTCTAAGCAGCAAAAATTTGAATATTTGACATTATTCTTTCTTCTTCTTGGACTGAATTAATTACATTTTCATATTATTCCGACCCATTCTAATTTGTTGGACTTTTCGTTTACTGGTAATTAATTTAAGCCATTTACATAATTAAATGGAGTATTATTTATGGTAATGTTTAATATTAAACCAATCATTATTTCTGATATCAAGATGGTAATGGAATTAGTCAACTTAATTTGAATATAATGAAACCTAATCCACTAATCAAATTCCATTTACTTAATCCACTAACGATAATGAATAACTAATAGTAACATCCACTTAACGGAAGCAAACTTTGAACTTAACTTTGAATCTTGAAAAACAGAAAATGTCAAAAGTTTGGAAAAGTGAGAAAATATAAATTAGTAGTCATTTTGGCTAATTGAATTTGTTTCACAATATTTGATGTTTTAGAAAAATAATAAGTTGTTTATTTATTTTTTGCTAGATCTACTATTACTATTTTCTAGTTAGTGCCTTAGTGGAGTGCTTGACACATTTAAAGAAAATATATAAATGATAATTTAGATGAATACTCTTTTTATTAAGATGACTAAATAAATATTTTTTTTAAAATATTGTTAGAACTAATTAATGTGGATCGGTCAGAGTAATTAAAAACCTAATCGATCCAACTAATTGAGTGAACTTCCTTGACTAATACATAATACGTCCACTTAGCAAAATAATATATTTTCTCGTCCTTCAAAGTCAAACTTTTCATGCTAATTTTACATAATATATAAGTTAATCACAATAGGACATGGACCGAAAAATTTGATAGAATTATTTGGAGGTTGAGGATTCGAATAGAAGGATAATAGGTAGTTGAATATTGTCTAAATTTTTTATATCTATATAATAATTATTTTATTTTATTACTATCTCCGTCTTTGATTTTTATTATTGCTTACACATTATTATTTTTATTTCAACTATTATACTATTTGATATTACTGTATTTTCTTACTTACTATATTTGAGATATTTTACTTGAGCCTCGTAAATAATATCTTATCTTCACAACTCACAAGGTACGAATAAAGTTATATACATTTTCAAAACTCCTAACCACTTGTAAAATTACATCGAATATATTATTATTATTTTACAATATAAGTTAATTGTTTTAAATTTGAATTTCAATATGCTCACGCGGATGCTGACCTGGTCTCACGTGGCAAAGACACTTCTCCCGCCAATCATGCCCTAAATAACAATAGTGGTTTTCTAATTTCTACCCTACAACATGATTTAAATTAATTTATATTTTATAATAATAAATAATAATAGAAGAAATGAGAGAAAAGTATTTGGTGATACTAATGTAATTTTTCTACTCTTAATCAAAAGTTTTGAAAATTAAAAAACCTTTATAGATCGAAAGTACATCCCTTTAATAAGTCCAACATGAATCAGTAAATTTCGAACATCAAATAGTTAAAGCCAAAATAAAAACAGACTTCAATACAATATTTGAAGTAAAAAATAATAAAACCCAAAACATAATATTAAAAGAACATTACAATATTGTGGTGGGACTTCTATAAAATATTGTTGATGAATTTGAACGGACTATAAAGTATAAACTATAGAAACTAAAAAAATATTTCATCTCTTATACTAAAGAGACATTTCACATTTTGTTGTCTTATTTGGTGAAACACATTTTATTTGGAATATCCATAAACTGCAAAAGATAATTTTAAATCAAAATATTATAGATATTCATGTCATATATCTTTGCTACTATGACTATGATCCATCCACTATTTTCTGTACCCACCTCTCCACTATTTTATTTTATTAATTTCATGTTTAATAACAGTGATCAATTTAAAACTACTCCATTATTTCCAAATGAAGTATTAATTCTTTTCTTAATTAGTTCCTGCTTTTTTGTTTTCCCACTGCTAATATCTCCGATGAAGTCCGACTAGTACAAATTTATCATGTAAAACCAATTTGTATTAGCACTCCCTACGGAAAAAAAATTTCATAACTAGAATTCGAAACTAAAACTTTTGAACAAGGAAGAAACAATCATATTCCACTACAAGAAAAGTGTGAATTACATGAGAATTTTCCTGGAGATTAGTATGAAAATTTGCAGGAAAATAATCCCCAGTGAATTCACTGCACATCTGCACCACATTCTTGATAATGTAAATTCTAATTAGTTCATGTTAAATATTCGTTTTTCCCGTATACTCCTAATAAATAATAAATATCTCACTATAATATACTTGAAAAGAGAAGTCCATAGACAATCTACATATTTTCTTTAAAGATAATTAAGAAATTCCTTCCTCTATTCCAAAAAGATAACATAGTAAAAATATATCTGTTTTTTTTTAAAAAAAAAAACTTGATATTCAGATTATGCCCCATATAAATTGAGGTGGAAGAGTCCTAAAAATTTACCTTTCTCTTATATAAAAATAAGAGTTGATCTAAGTCATTTAACTTGAAATCAAAAGAATAATTATTTTAACAAAATGTAACTTGGAACGAAGATTTTTTTTCTCTCATACCTGCTATTTATACCACCCAATAACAATAAGTACTCTATAAGATATGAATCATTTTGTATAAACTTTTATCATTAATTATGATTAAATTTTAAATTAAATATGTACACCTTTTTCAACACTAGAAATAGTACACTAAAATGCATAACCCCAAAAAAAAGAGACTAAAATGCCGCGTGGTGTATAAGTTAAATTCCATGACTTATAAATACAGCTATATAAAAAGAAATTGATAAGTTAAAGCGAATTATTAGTTTCATCTATGAATTAGTGATAGTATTAAATTTCTCTTTTTTTGACTAATTAAATTTAGATACACTCTCAATCTTGCATTATTAGTGAAATACGTCACTAAATTCTTGTCAAATTTAGGAGTGTTTTCAAAATCTCTCTCGGTTTTTATTAAGAGTCACGTGTTTTTACAAGAGTTTGAGACCATCTTATTATGTTGTGTGGTAGATCGAAAGAGTATCTAAATTTAATTAATGAATTAAATAAACATTTGTAAGGCGATCAATAATTTGAGAACGACTAATAATTTACGTCAAATTCAAATGTTTTTAATACTTCTCTATATTTATATTTATTTATTTTAAAAAAACTATACTGTATAAAAGTAATAAACCCCCCTCAAACATACTTCTCAACTTTGCCGTTGCATTTCCAAAATTCAACTCCCTGCTGTTCTAAAAAGTATTGTCAACACGCTGTCAATAAAGGAGACAGCACGACGTCGTTCTGAAATCTCCGAATTTCCGGTATCTGATGGCGATCGCCGACGAGAAGGACGGTAAAGTTTGGGGACTGTTCAAGCTCCCTTTTCGAAACGCACAGTCAACGACGACTTCGCGCTCATCTTCGCATAATACTCTTCATTACCGCAGTCAACAACATCAATCTCTCGGAATTGCTTCTCTGGATGATGGATCGGTTCCTCGTAGCAACAGTTCCAGCTCCGTTTCTTCAGTAGCCAGGTCTTTACTTCCTGCACGCCGTCGGTTGAAACTTGATCCTTCCAATAAGCTTTATTTTCCTTGTAAGACTCTATTCTCTCTCCTTCTTTTTGGATTATCTGCAATCTCATTGATATTCGGTTGAAATTAGTGTTTGTGGAACTACTTTGTTAAAACTTAAAACTAGCTTTGATGGCTAGAATTAACAATCCGCCCATTTCGTTTTACTTGTCCATTTTTGGCAAATTTATTACTTCTTTCCCCGTATTAGCCGTATTATTAAATAACTACATAAACTATTAGCAGCCAAATTTAAATTTTCATAGCATTACTAACAGTTTAGTAAAATACCTCTCTAATTAAAAAAAAAAAGTTAAGAGGGGGCCAAATAATATAAAATGTAGGGAGAAAGAACAACTTTCACATATAGCAAACATAAAAATCATATTTGTATGTTATAGTTATAGTTTGTATAATTGCGCTCTATAACAAACTTTATGTTTGCTATGGAGCATCAGAATGTATAATTCGCTGGCAGGAGCTTTAAATTTGTATAATTTCGCTAGCAGGCCATTTGTATAAATCGTTGGCAGCCTCTCAATTCAATTTTATGGGTTTGTATATCTGCATAAAATTTGAATTTGTATACAAATGAATCGAAATAAAACATTTGTATATCAAATCTCTCTCTCGCTTTATACAACACAAATTATACATTGTAATTTGTATAAAGCGAGAAAGGCAAAAGAGAACTGGGCAGGGGAAGATCTGTAAGTGTGTAATTATAAGTGTATAGGACGAAAATATATGTATTCGTATTTGTATATACAGTTTTCTCTTGCTTTATACAAACACAAACACATTTTATACATTTGTGTTTGTATAAAAGCGAGAGAGGCGAGGGAGAGACTGATGAGAGTGGCGAGCAAGAAACCTAGGGAGAGAGGCGAATGACAACTGTTTGCTACGGGTTACAATTAAATCAAACCGTGGTTATAATATTTAATTTGAATTAATAATTTGCTATTTTATACAATTTTCCCTATAATTAAGTCGTTCATCAGTGATTGGGTTGATAATTTTTAGGTAGGGATGCATTATATGATAATGCTAAATCTTAGATCATGACGTCTTGCAATAAAGTGTCATCAATTTGTGGTGAAGTTTCTATTCAGTAGTTTAGCAGTGATGCTGGACAGTAAAGGGAAACAAACTGTTCATCGGACTTGATATGGGAAAGGCCAGCAGCCAACCGTTGCCTTTTATTTTTGGAACAGACGGTTGTGTGTTATGATGCCCTCTCAATTAGAGCTTGCTTAGAGACATGCTATAGTTTATCCCTCGTGCATTTGTATGGAGGAAAACACTTGAAATTTGTTGCAGTGAATATCAGTAAAATGATACTTCTTTCATTTTATATGTCTTAATTTGATTAGACATGAAATTTAAAAAAGTATGAGAGACTTTTGAATCTAACTTAAACTGAAGATGTGCATAATGCACCAAAATATCCTTTCATTCTGGCAGTTTTAACCATGCCATGTGGGATATAGGAATTGTAGAGTAACTATAAATATAGAAAGTGATTGTATTTTTTATGAAACAGACTATAAAAAAACTAAGACATAAATTGAAAAAGAGGGATTATAACTGAAGATTTCATTGATCATTTGCCATATGCTCGGTGTATATCCTATCAGTGAGGTCAAATTCCCAAACCCACTGTGCAGAAAATAATTCAATATATCATCCTTAATTAATGAGTCTCACGCAGTGAGTGCTATGCAACACTAGGTGGTGTACTCTTTCCTTTTCTTATGTGAAAGTCTTTTTACTTTTATATTGTTTGACTCTTGCAATCTATCGAAAAAACATCATCCGATTCTTGTGAAATTAGATTAGTGATTGTAAAATGTAAGCCTGTCCTCTAAATCCATTTTATCTGCGATGAATGATTGTGCATGAGCAAAGTATGTTAATTTGATTGCACATGTGTTTGATATAGTTATGTACACCTAAGGTAGCGTATACAAATTTCTAGTACCTTTGCTGTCAAAGCATGTTGCCTATCTCGGAGAGGAGTATATTCCAGACCCTAGAAGTTTGATTGGAATAACTAACCTACTCTAGTTATCTCCTAAATAGTTGAATCTGTTTTGGTAGTTTGCGTTACATATCAGTATACTCTTCTCTTGATGTAGTCTGGTTTCAGGAATCTGACTTGTTGAATACAGTATTTTTCTTGAGAAAGCTCATTTGGCTTCTGGTTGGAGGTCTTTGAATGTTGTATCTGATCCCATGACTTTACTAGTTGGTGGTTAGTGTAGTTTTATGCATCTGGATCTTTTGCAAATGCACTCTCTAGTGATCAACAAGATTGTATATACTTCTTTATGCTTGTCCTTGTAAGGGACTGTCTTTGAACGTTGTATCTGATCCCATGACTTTACTGGTTGGTGGTTAGTGTAGTTTTATGCATCTGGATCTTTTGCAAATGCACTCTCTAGTGATCAAAAAGATTGTATATACTTCTTTATGCTTGTCCTTGTAAGGGGCTGCTTCCGAGTTTTACCTTTTTTCAATTTTTCTCTACTTCAGTTATGCTTGAATAGCACCTGTTGTTGGCTGTCAAAGATATAGATGTGCATTACTGACTTCCAAAAGATTAACATTCTAATGTTTTTTTCCTGGAAGTTTCCTGTTCTTAATAATTAAAGTTCCGCTTCTTTTCGTTGTTATTGAACTTGTTTCTCATTTTATTTGACGCCTCTTTCGTTTTGCCAGATGAACCTGGTAAGCAAGTTCGAAGTGCTATCAAGATAAAAAACTCTAGCAAGTCTCACGTAGCTTTCAAGGTACTTATGATTTCTCGTCTCTTTTCCATACACGGGCACTTCATTCTCCCCTAGCTGTCTTTATAGTTTTTAGCTAGAAACTATTTTGAGAATATATCTTGACATATTTATTTTATATGCATTGTTGTTTTTACATGGTTGGTGATGTTTGCCTGTTCTGCATTTAGTTCCAAACAACTGCACCCAAAAGCTGTTTCATGCGTCCTCCCGGAGCAATTCTCGCCCCCGGTGAGAGCATCATTGCAACTGGTAATATTCATCACTCTTGGTTTATTTCCTTTCACGTTCTTCTTGTGAACACCCTTATATGCAAGTTATAATTGTCATGTTGCAATTGAATAATTACATTGTGCAAGTATTTCATTCTGACTTTGTGTCTTTGTCATAGTATTCAAGTTTGTAGAGCATCCAGAAAATAATGAAAAACCAATGGACCAGAAGAGCAGAGTAAAGTTCAAGATCATGAGCCTCAAGGTGAAAGGACCGATGGACTATGTACCTGAGCTGGTTAGTACATTATTTCTCTGCAAGGAATTTCCTTTCCTTTTTAGCATGTGCTTCAACACTTCTAGTTTCCGTGATAAAAGAAGCTGGTTTTTAGTTTGTTCTATACTCCTATTACATTAGGTCAATTGTTTCTTTCTGGGGGTGCGGTGGACTGGGGGCTGGGGGCTTCAGTTATCACTTTTTAATGGCGAAGGCATACTTCTGATTTTTGTCAAAGAAAATTGGGTTCTCCCACAATAGGTGTTCTTTTCAATGATAATGTGGTGAATTATACCACCAAAATTGGCTCTGTGATAAACAGCATAGTCATTACACTTCAGCAAAGATGTTTTCATCCATGCTGAAATATGCATTTTTAATTATGTTGAAAACTGCATAGCTTTAGGGGAAACCTGTTCAAATTATCTCTAATCATCGCCTCTATGTTCTTAGTTTGAAGAGCAAAAGGATCAAGTAGCTGTAGAGCAAATTCTGCGGGTTATCTTTCTCGATGTGGAACGTCCTAGTCCAGTAAGTATACATTATAATGAACATCCATATCATGATGCCACTTTTTGTTGGGTTTTCACTTCAGATTATGAAAGAGCATCCTTTATATACGGGCTGTGTGTTAGGAAATAAGGCAGAGAAAAAACCATCTCACAAGTCTTCGTTCATTTTGTCTTGTGAAGACTTTGGAAAAATTGAAACGCCAGCTAGCGGAGGCAGACGCTGCTCTTGAGGAACGCAAGAAGCCTGTGGAAGATACAGGTCCAAAGATTATCGGTGAAGGGCTTGTCATAGATGAATGGGTAAGCTATCATTTCAACTTATAATTAGAATCTTGTAATTCCTTTTCCCGACGCTTTTATGTTTCATAATCCTGTTTTCTCCTCCTCTGTGCTTTACAGAAGGAAAGAAGAGAGAGATACCTAGCCCGGCAGCAAGTTGAAGGCGGTGTGGAATCTGTATAACTTTCAGGTCTTGTTTCGACATCTTAGCTTTGGCTGGAAAAGATACCAGTCTTATTGTTGTGTGTAATTGGTTGTTGTAAGAGATATTATGTCACTAAACACATTAGTGAACATTCACAAGAGAGAATCTCAATGTCCCAATCACAGTTACTTGTCATAGCCTCAAAGCTGTATATAATGTCATTCCTTTTAAGTAATGAGAGATTTTCAGTTGAAGGGACCTTGATTTTATGATTTACTCCTTTAGCAAGTGTGTGTGTATCCAAGTTTAACTGCACAGTTTTGAATATTCATAAAATGCAGACAATAGGTATACTATTCCTATACATGAAAAAAGAAAAGAAAACTAATAGTAATCAAAGAGTGACAAAATATATTCTCAGTCAAAGCATCGTCTAATCATTTAAAATATAAATTGAACCGGGAAACAGAGAAGCAAAACAAGAAACGGGTACCAAAATAATATAATTGGGTAAAGCAAGTTTATCCAATGAATAAAAGTCGCAGAAGGAAAATATGAGACCACTAAATTTCTGTGGGCAAATTTAGTACTAGTTTTTTTTTTCTTTTTTCTTTTATTGGGGACATGGGAAGTTTGTTGTGAAAGGGTGTTTTGGTAAAAACTTATTAACATTCGTGTTATTGCCAACTTAATAAATAAATAACACATTTTTTATTTTTTTCTATGATCATGGTGTTTGGATCAACTTTCACGTATCTCGACTAATTTCACGGAATATTTGTCACCTCTCACCAGTAACAGGTACCAAGTAATTACTCCGTCCACCCAAGCTAGAACATATAAGAATAATCACATAGAACACATTGTTTTATCACTAAATTATATTTAATCTAATCATTATAAGTTGATATGATTTAATATAAACATCGAAGGTAAGGAATTTCTATCATTTTACCGTATAATAAAAGACAAAATTGCTGATACATTCCCGGGCATAATAACTAAGAAAGCAATCATGCACCAGGTAACAAAAACATTACATAATTCAGCCACTAGAAATTCTCGAAACTATGGTCACCCTTTATTTTATGAGTTTTTTTATTGTACCCAAAACCACTGCTCTACGCCAACGGATACCGCCCCTTACATTCATATATAAACTGCACAAATCTTATGTACCCAATTAATAATATTTCAATCTTAGTGAGGAAGGAAAAAAATAGTAGCAAAACAGAGAAAAATTAACAATATGAGTAGTATTTATCTAAGTAGAGTTTGTATGGCAGCTAGTGTAGCTATGGTTGAAGGACAAATTGATCATTCTTCTAAGTATACATCTAAGTTTCGACCACTTTGTTACATAGAAAATCCAAGATTACCAACTGGAAGTAGTAATAATGATCTGCAGGGTGAAGAAACAGGGAAACATGTGGATGAGTCTCTTCAACAAGTCATGTTTCTTAATTGCTGGACACATAGTTAACAGCCTGAGAAAGAGTGCGTAATAATTCTCTGTGCCCGATAGAGAAGCAGATTCAGCCTCTGATTTTTTTAGTGGTCATCTACAATTTTGCAAAACAAAAGGTGAATCTAGGTTCAACTGAACTTATTGCTTTCAGCTCGAACTATATGTACATATGGGAAATAAATGAATTGTATATTTTATAATAAGAAATGAAAGTCCAATTCAATACCAAGAGCAAATTTAGTGCCACTTGAGAATTCCAATAACAGGGAAGTTCATAACATAATGGATACAACAGATTAAACCAACCATAGTAACTTCATTTTACTTTAGAAAAAAGCTTTATTCAACATCCAATTTTTGTTGGTGTGATAATTTTAAAACAAGGTGCCATCAACACAAAGCCATTGACCCACAAAAAGAGCAGTACAGTTGAGGTTTGGATTAATAGCATTGAACTCATCACTGCCCAAACCAAATGTATGAGAAACGTCAAAGCATGTGTCTCCATCCTTCACATTCACCACCTTCGAACATTCTATTTCACTTTTTGGACTCGAACCCTCTGTTTCAGCAAAATAGGCTGGTTAGAGACAAATTCAAAATTTGAAACAAGTAGATGCACAATCTTGTAGTGGAAAAAATATAATAATTCAAAATATCAATTGCTATGGCCTAGTGATCAATAATGAAAGAGTTGAGAACTAAGAAATTTCGAATTACTCGATATATGTGTTGATGTTGATAACATGTACCTCATAAAATTAGTCAAAATACACGCAAAAGCAAGTTGAATATCACTTGTTTGGAAAGTTGCACATATTCAAGAATAATATTGTATGGAATAGTGGACAAGTAAAGTAAACATGGAGAGTAATAACAAATTATTACTACAATTTACAACAATATATATGTTATCCAATTTTTGTGAATATAGAGATCAAGTCTTACCATGAATAGTAATTTTGCTTTCAACCAAAGTGATGAAGAGAAGAAGTGAAAGAATCAATATGAAAGACAAAACTTTATCATTTGGCTTGGCCATCTTTGTATCTCAACTAGCTTAGTTACTTTTTTTTTCTTCTAAAGTATAGTTATTTTAGTTGATGTGATTTTCATAACAAGTAATGCTGCTATTATATATGTGAGGAGTTGAAGAATAAAAACAAATTAAAGATGTGTAAATAAAATTCTCACAAGAAAAGCCGGCTAACGGCAATTGGGTGAATTGTAACAAGAGAATCAAATAAAGGTTAAAGATGAAAACTATGATCACAACAAGAAAAAAAAAACTTTCTTAGTGTTGAAAGATCAGGATATTACTAAGTAAAGAGTCTGATTCCTCTCGTCTTCATTTCATGAGTTTAAATTACTCATTCCCATTCTTATTTCTATTCTTAATTATTTAGTGTTGTAATATTTTTCATTGTAATTCAATAATTCAACAATTACCAATTCCAAAATTGGAACCATGTTATAGTTCTTATTGGGCCAATAAAATGTGAAGTCCAAATTTAGAGCTGGACTTCTATCTGGCCCCATTATGCATCATAGGAGAAGCCCAACCCACTTAAAGATTCTTCTCTTAAGGGGCATAAAATGTGGAAGTCCATAAATACTTCAAGACTCTTTTTGTTAGAACTCACAATTGTTCTTTTTCTTTTTGTTGTTGTTGTTGAGACTTGAGAATGTGGTATAAAATTTAGGGGAAATTACAGAAATCACATACTTTAAAGGCAAAATTACAATTTATCCCTTAAAAGTTTATAATTACAGAAATCACTCAAACGGATACAATAATATAAGCGTTGATACATTAATCTGATGCGCGAGATACAATAATATAAGCGCTGATACAATAATATAAGCGTTGATACATGCGCGAGATACTAAATATAAGCGCTGATACATTAATTTGATGCGCGAGATACAACAATATAAGCGCTGATACACTAATCTGATGCGCGAAAATGAGAGATTTTGGGAATTTGTAAAACTTATAGGGGATAATGATAATAAGTAAACTAAAAGGTGGGATTTCTGTAATTTTTCCTAAAATAATTTAAGATGCATAAATATTTCGGAAATTTTTTTCAAATAAAATTGACTCACTACACAACACTATTTAAAACTTAGAAACTATATTTCAAAAGGACGATTGAAGAAAAATATCAGCAAAGAAAGCCACTTTTGCAAGAAAAAAAAATTGTGTTTAATGGTAAGAAATGACTAATTTATTGGAAAACAATTTCGGAAAAATATTTTCCCTCCTACATAACACACCTTTAAGCAGGTCATCAATTTAAAAGTTTAAAACCTTTTATCACTTAGTTTTCAATTTTTTATGAATATCTTTAATATTTTTAGTAGTTCCTACACCTGTCACACTAGCTCGCTCCTTAGATTATTTACAAGTGGTATTTTCAAGCAACATGTAACAACATTAAATACCACTAATATTCTATTCCTATCCATAAAAGTATAAAACTCAAAATTGTTATACATTCTTATCTATCAAGAAAGTTTTCACAAAATTGGACAAAAAAAAGTGCATGGAATCATATGATTCATATATTCATCTTTCTTACAAAATCCGTGACCTAAATCAAATGAGTAAATAAATCCTCTTGATCTCCTCTATGTTATTATTAGTAGAGCCTAGAGGCCAAAAAGCAAAATCCAATTGCATATTTGCATTTAATACTATATATTAATATTTTTGAGGTGGAGCATGAATCCATAGCAAACAAGTTAGGCAAGATCGTGACCAAATTGAATTAATAAAAAAAATCTTATCTACTTCTATGTTCTTTTTATTGAAAGGTACTTATATTAATAAATACTATGAAGGAGATATGTATTATGAACATCCACGTCATTTGTCACCTAAAAGTCCCACAAATTTATTAGTGACCAAAAGCATAGGTCCATTTAGATTCCCAGTTTCTAACAAAGTTGTGGATATAGAAAGCTTCTTACTAATGATATGTTTGTTTTTTTAACTTCAGTCTAGAATATACCAGTAAAAATAGTTTTTAGCGGCAAGCCGATAATTAATATACATATTAACAAAGAGTGTTTATCGCTTTTATCAACATTAGTTTATTGTTATTGGATCCAATGCCGTTATAGATTTTAAGGACATTTTCAAAGAGTGTTCATTGCTGTTAAAAATATATATTTAGCGACAATTAAGTTATTGTGGTTAAAAGATTATTTTGGGAGTATAGTGTATCCACTTTTGTTGTAGTAAAAACATATTCTTGCAACTAATTAAACTGCAGTTTACTGCTTAGAATTCTGAATTTCCCATAAAGAGAAGAAAACAGAAAAATTAAACACATATTTTTTTATAGTAGAAAATATAAGTGGATAATGCCAATTTTACAACTACTTAGATATATATATTCTTAAACGAATATTATGGAACAAAAGGCAAAATTTTGAAAAAGTGGTGGCCAATTCACTTTATTAGAAGCTTCGTGAGTTCACAACTTTAGGAAAAACGGGACCAAATTCACATGTTTTTTTTTTTGTACAAAATATGAATCAAATCAAGTGTTACATCTCACTTTAATGTATGAAAAGAAGGATATTTATTTTGAAAGTCATAATGAATACATACGTACCTTAAAAGAGAAATAAATAAAATAAAAAAAGGTTGCTCTTCATGGTGGTCACACTTCTTTCTAATAAAGCTAAGAGTTTACTTGCTTCCGTGACCACCTCTAAAGTTTTAAGTCACAAAAAGATCTTTACATTCAGAAACAAAGAATTTGTTATTTGGATCCAATTTTATT